CTATCATTCTGGCTCGCAGGTTTTCGACTGTGCTTTCCCTGGATTGTACCTATAAAACCAACCACTTCAACCTCCCCTTGTTACACATAGTAGGTACCACCAACACAAATCGTACATTTACTGTAGCTATGTGTTTCCTCAGTAGTGAAGTCACAGCCCAGTACGAGTGGGCCTTGACGCAGCTGAAGGAAGTAATCTATGGGAACGACGATGAATCAAACGTGACGATGCCGCAAACGTTTGCTACCGATGCTGAACCCGCCCTCTCAACCGCCATCTCTAATGTCTTTCCTCAGGCCGTACACATCTTGTGTATATGGCACATCAACATCAACATAGCGAAAAACTGCAAGAGCAAGTTCTCCGAATCTGATTGGACGGCTTTCATGCAACTATGGAACGTCTTTGTTTCTTCAACTACAATGGCAGACTATGAATCAAATCTCGAGGCGGTTACTCAGTCAGCCAAAGCCCATCACGTCTTTGAATACCGCGAAAGTACCTGGTTACATTGCATCAAGAAATTCGTTGCTTTGTTTACTTCAGAAACGCCTCACTTCGGTAATTCGTCGACTTCACGTGTTGAAGGGAGCCATTTCCGCGCCAAACGGTTTCTCGACGGAAGAAATAACGACTTTCTAACCTGCTTTAATTCATTCAAACGATTCGAGGAACATCAGATGACGGAGATATCAGTGTTAGTTGGAATTGAGACCACGAAGATACTTCAAGGCATGCCCATCTTTTTTAAAGATCTCAATGGTATAGTGTCACATTTTGCGCTGAAAAAATTGAAAGCTCAGTATGACCTCTTACCCGATTCCCTTCAAAAGCCTTGCACACACACCTTCCAAGGAGCGTGGGGCCTTCCGTGTTCACATGTGATCGCGGCGGCACGCGATACGACTGAATTCCTATTGGTCGACCTCATTCATGATCAATGGAAACTGCAATTGGAACTAGCTCCCACTACTCATGAAGGACTAGTGGCAGCCGCGCGTGCCCAATTTGATCAAATTCTGGAGTTACCAGAGCATGCACTCCGCAAGCTCTTTGGCGAAGTCTCCCTTCTTGAAACTAGCAGATTCGCCCTGGTTCCAATTGTGAATCCTGATGTCAAGACCGACACACGAGGCCGACCTCGAGCCAGTACGTCGAAACGCACCGGATCATCTCAGGAAGGTATGCAAGGCCGATGGAAGTCCAAGCTTGAATTGGAAGAGTCTCGCTCAAAACTTCGTGTGACCAGATGCAGTGGTTGTAGATCTCCAACTCACCGAATCACTACATGCCCTCTTCGGCTCAGCCAAACCAAATCAAACCCAGGCATTAAAGCTGCCTCTGGATCAAGTAATCCATCCGCAAAACTTCCTTCGAAAGCATCCAAAAGTTCGAAAATACTGGTGCTAGAGTCAGAAACTGATGAAGATGAATTCTCAGAAATGGATTACGATCAAGATAAATTACAAGATCAACTCTCCTCTTCCAAACTTCAACCGTGCAAGTCTTTTTTGGACGACTCAGATATCGATGTCTCCTCAGATTCCGGGGTTGACTCCGAAGAAGACAGTCAAGATTTGTGCCCATTTTGTGATGAGCCGCTACCTGACAAACCGTCAGAAAGATTACTTAAATTGAAGGAGACTCTTTTGGGAATGTCAAACATCCGCCAAGCCGTGGGACGCAATGGCGCTATGTCCTTGTCAGTAAGTCAAATTTCATTTGAATTCCTCAAAACGTTTCACCTCTTTGCTAATGATGTTCTGTCATCTCCCGAAAGTTTTCCCAAACTGCAGATTTCTGTCATTTGCATCAGGCCGAGCGCGAGACTATCCCACATGGTGTTGCCCGAGGATGGCCAACCAAGATTGATTTCGAAGGCTTAGAAGGGTACGTTATACGCTTCACAAGTGCGATTGAGGGCAAAAATATGTGTTGATTGTTTTACTTTGTCCTACAGGCGTATGAGGCAACATGAAGATGTTTTGCGCGCAGTGGTAAACGAACCCACCACATCTACCTATTTTGGACTTGCAACGAAGAAGGGTAAAGGGGGCGGAATTTGCAGCTTGGGTAGTGAAATACTGACCTTTGTAGTTGAACAACCCGGATAGTAAGTGTCTGCCTCATCATTTGATCTTAACTGCAATACTAATTGAATGTTTAATGTTCAAAACTAGCTATGGATATCAAGGGTATGAGATCATGATTCGCACTCTGGAATCTATGTTTATTGAGGATACCTCCTCGCCAGATCATCTCGACTCAGCAAAAGCCGCACCTCTGACTGCCGATTACTTTATTCGAAAGGTCCTTATTCCAGAAACTGCTCTGTGCTTAATTGCTGAAGACATGAAATTGGATAGAAAGGATCCACTTGTACAGGAGACTTTGAATGCCAGCCGTGAATATGGTGTGATAGTTTTTCCAATGACTGAAGAGTCTATGGCCGCAGCATCAAATGCGAAGAAGACTAAGCAAACACCACCTCAAGAGTTCAAACCCCAAGCATCTGGCTCATCAAGCTCGAAGCATCAAGCCTCAACTACTAAGTCAACAGCTTTGCAACCGACCACCCGAATCAAACCTGCCGAACAAAAGTATTTGATACAACTGCCTCGTGTTATTATACCTTTTGTCAAATCTCTTTTCGATCCTCCAGCTTTTGGAAACTGTGGTTACTATGCAATCGCCAAAGCCCTCAACTGTTACAGCGAGGACTCGTATGCCTTAGTCCGCCACCACTTGCACGAGGAATTGGCCACCTTTCGTGGGCCCCATGAGGAGCTGATCTCAAACATCTTTGGAATGAAGTCTCGTGGGAGTGGGATGAAGACTCGACGTACCGCGCCTTTTGCAACGGAAATCGTCGACGACCTGCTTGTCCGGCTTGAACCGCAAGGCTTAAAATGTGGCCAACAGTTCTGGATGCGCATGCCCTACTTGGGCTATGTCATTGCCAGTGCATATGAATGCCCGGTTATCCTTTTCAATCCAGTCAACTCCAACTGTTACTCATTCTTCCCTTATCGAATTCCACCAAACAAGAATGCTCCCATCTTGCTCGCATTTGTGGATGGTGAACATTTCGTAACTGTCACTGTGGGGTCCAGTAAAAACTTGATCCCACTGCCACCAATATATGGCCAGGCACTCACGGCCACCATAACAAATACTCTAATTCCGGAATGGATCTCCAGATATCAAGTGCAACTCGATCTGTGGGCTAATCAAGAGGTAGTATAGTTGTTCTATTATCTATCAATTAAATTGACCTGTTATGTATGTTGTACTTTCTCTCTTACTACGTACTTTGTCCTTTTCAACTTCATTTCTTCCTTTGTTATTTGTTGTGTGTCTTCAGCCGTTTTTGTTCCTTACTACTATGCTATGCCTGTTGTATGAACCACCCGACTCGCGACTAACTGACGCGGGCCTACCTATGCTATGCCAATTCAAGATATGTTTTATGCCCACAAAGCTTTTTTTCGCTTCGTGAGCTTTGTTCCTTTGTTTTCAAAAGGGATTTGTACACATTGCTCATTACAACATAGACATAAGGTTGTAAAACGAGTACATACAAGTACAAGACCAACCAATCCATGATTGGATGGATCGATTTAGAGAAGAGAGGAGGGGCGCGGTTTAGAGAAAGGGGCGCAACTTTACGCATAGACCCGGTCCGGTCCCGAAAAGGGGCGCCGGGTACTTGCCGAGGGGGCGACAAATAGTGGGATCCTAAAATTAAAAGCGGACTTTAGATCTAATTTAGAAAAGAAACGACAACCTGACACTCTAGTCAACAAATCTCCTAATAAAGGGATAGGAAAAGAATCTCTAACAGTCATTGAATTTAAAGAACGATAATCCACACAAGGTCTATTACTCTTGCCTGGTACTTTCACAAAAAAAATCGGAGAAGCAGCTGGAGATGATGAATGCCCAATGTTGCCTTTCGCCAATTGTCCATCAATCCAATCTTTCAATTCCAGTTCTTCAGGTTTAGATAACAAATAAGATCCTCCATAAGTAGGAACCGCGCCTTCTTTCAACTGAATCGACATATCAAAACCTGAACGATGAGGAGGTAAAGACGTAGATCCCTGCGAGTTGAAAACATCAGCAAACCTTCTAAATTCAAAAGGAATTGAAGGAGCTAAAGATGAAGAAGAAATAGCGACAGAAGAAGATGGAAGAGACAAAATGGGAATAGAGGAAGAGATAGATGGAAATGACAATGCTGATAAAGACAAATAATCACCTGTTAATTGAGAAGATTTATTAACAGGAGACTCCAATCTGAGCGACGGGCCACAACCTCCAACCCATCCTTGATGACAACGCAACCAATCCATCCCCAAGATTAAATCATATCCGCCTAAAACCGTGACATCTAACTTGACTTCTGAATTAAATAGTTGATTTGAATCATCCGCTATAGACAATCCGCCTTTCCAAAAATGAGTAACCATCCCGTCTTTACCGGCCGACCCATCAAAAGTGACGCACTTCAAAGGAAAAGGTCGAAGAAATAAAGGAAATTTATGTTTGTTGGAAAAACTTTTGTCCAAGAAACTTCCTGAGGCTCCTGAATCAACCAACGCTCTAGCAGGAAATTTTACACCATTCATGACCAGATCCACAGACAAAATTAAACGAGTATCCATAGATGAAGAATTCTTGAAATGTATTGCGGAGATCGAAGTCGTCAGAGCTGGGTCTTTGATTCCATCATCAGTTGGGTCAAACATGGGACGAGCATCATAATTGATATCCGGAGAGTTGTCATAGTAAGTCGATTGATCAATGTTTTGATACTCAGAAAACAAAGCTGATACCTGTTGAACTGGGTCTTGAACTGACATAGCTGATGGCATGCCTAAAGCCGCAGGCAATCCTGGGTGATGAAGAGGTGATTGAGCATTAGGATGAATATGACCGAAGTTAAAATTAGGAATATGTGGGGGTTGTTGATAATTCATGTGAGTAGTCGGAACTTGTCAAAATCCTGAAGCCACACGATGAAAACCTCTAGTCGGAGCCGAATGATTGCGATGAAAGCCTGAATGATTAATTGATGCCACTGTCGCCACCGAAGGTTGAGGCTTAGATTGATATTTTTGCATAAAAACCTCAATTTCTCGAGTCGTAGTCGGCGGAGGATTAGGACAACCAGTGCTTCGTCCATCAGCAGTTTTATGTGTTAAATCATAAGGCTTCAGACATTTGTGACAGAGAGTTCGAGCGTGACAAAATTTCAAAAAATAACTGAAAGAAACGCCACTAGGCAGAGGAGGAAAGTTACGACCCGAATTGACAGCGTTTACATCGACCTCCATAGCATTTGGGTCCCGAGGAATCAAAACAGCCGGAGGAACAGTAGAAGCTTGTTGCAAAGATGGAGAATGACCTAAATTCGAACTAACATGAATAAGTTGTTCTGAAGCCATAGAAGCGACCGCTTGACGTTCCGCCACCGTTGAACACTTAAACCAGTCAGGGTGTTTCAACGCTCTGTCTTTAACATCCGGTCGTAAGCCAGTCGTAAAAAGATTTTTCAACACCACATTTGAAAGTTGAAGTTGAAAAGCCATGGAATTGAATCTTGAGATGAATTGACCAATAGGAAGTTTTCCTTGTTTGAATGACTGTAATTCGAGAAAGAGTCGTTCTTCCGCGAATTTGTCCCCAAATTTGTCGAGAAATTCTTTAAAAAAAGAAGTAACAGAGCTTAAAGAATCTATAGTAAAAGGCGTAGGAACCATGGAAAATTCGTCTGACTCAGAAACTCCATTTTCCCTATCATTGAGCCTTAATAAACTCATCCACCAGTCATGAGGACCCGAAGCTAAAGGAAAATGTTTAGTGACCCAAATGATACGACGATCGTCGGTGGCGAAACACGCAGAGTTGGCAAACAGCGCATCCCGTACCACACTGACAAAACCAGGGACTTTGCGAGGATCCGAACCATCAAAAGTAACACCCGTTAAAACAGGAGGTTCCACTAAAGCCGTAGAAGAGACAACTGAAGGTGAAGGTAAAGTACGTTTTAAAGTTTGAAATTCTTCATCCATAGCATTCATACAATCCTTCTTCATCGTAGCAAAGCCATCACGCAAACCTTCATTGACTTTTTCTTCCAAACCTTTGAGAGAAAAATTTGATTTAAATTCTGCTCGTAGAATATCCATTACTTCCTTCTTAGCTTGTTCAATGGAAGAGTTGAATATACTTATTAACTCTGCTTTAGATTGAGTAATTGACGAGGCAAGAATGGATCCAATAGCGTTTGACGCGGTGTTGTTACGCGCATCAATAATCGCATTGACCGAATTGTTGAAGGTTTCGAATCTTGGTTCCAAATAACGTGTCACAAATTGTTGTTCAGAATTCGATAACACATAAAGTGGTGCTACTTGCTGTGACGAAGAATCAGTTGGAGTATGAGACATGATTAAGTAATGTAATAAAAAAATTGAAATGTAACCACAAAGTGAATCAAATTTATGAAATAGTTTTTGTAAGATGATAATAATGGTTTTTGATGAATCTGTTATAGAGAAATCAATGGAGAAGAAAAAGAAAGATAACCAACAATCAAATATCGATAAACATTCTAATATGCACGAGGATAATAATATGACGTAATAACCTATCCACAAACAGCAAGGAATCACAAAATTTAACACATGTAATATGAACCTACAAAATTCATTAAGTGAGGGGTTATACACAAATATTAACAATTTAAACGTAAAAAAATATCGAAAAACATCATAAAACGTTATATCAGAAAGGATTATGAAGAGAAATAAAAAACTGGTAAAAAAAATGAAAAGATAAAAAAATATTAGATAAAGAAAGAGGCGTAAAAATTTTTGTAGAGATCGAATTATACTGTAAGGGCCTTGGTCTAGGGTCTCGAAAGGCATTGCTCTATTCGAGACTTTACTTAGATTTTACTAAAAGGTGACAATAATACTTTAATAATTCGATAAAGAAAACATCATAACTAACACTTAACACTCTATATATATACATATTTTTCTTATCTAACATCTTTTATCTTAACAGGTAATTTCCAATTCGTTTCTAACAACCGTATCTTAACAACAAGTTTTATCTATCATTCCCTTGGTTCTACCCATTTGAAATCAACATTATACAATATTATTGATTTATTTGAATTTGTTACAGCTAGGACAAAAAGAAAGCACAGCAGATATGTTGTACATAGATGAAGGTATGGAAAATAAAACGAGGAAAGGAAATTACTGCAACAGCGGCTCATCCATTGACATCATGCAGTGAACTCATGTATTCAATGATTATTTGATATTCCTCATAATCTCGAAATCCTCGTAGGTTCATTTGAAATTTGTGAGGCTTTCTTCAATGCCATCATCTTGAGATATCACCTGGTAATAGTATGATCTAAAACTCAATATTGTGTTCGCACAGCCGTGCCTAATATGCTTGGCATAAATCTCGGATCAACCACTTTGTCTCTGTGGTAAGATTGGACACCAGCTTTGGGGGAAAGAATGGCCAAGCGCATGCCTGGAGCACATGATGAAATCAAGCTGTTCTTGACTCTCAATCTAAACCAAAATCACTCCAAGGCTAGCCTCGAGGCAAACCTGATGTGATGATTGAAAAACCTCAGTCTAGTGTAATTCCTGCCGCCACGACACATGCTAGACATACGAGCTAGCATGGCAATCTATGGCAATCCATGACACTTGTGCTAACTCGGCAGAAGGAAATGTACAAAAATTTATTTGTACGCGAGTGATTGATAGTATGTAAGACATGCATCGGAACCTTGACTGAAATTGAGGCAGTGAAAAGCTGTGTAAAATCTTGCGTAAAAGCCAATTGTTTGATGTGATTTCTAATCATTGAGATGACAAACAAATCGGAATTCCTGATATACAGATGGCGATTGATAAACCACGCCGACTTCAAAACTGGTTTGACGCCGGTTTTTCTTGAACCGGATTCCTTCAGAAGATATACAGCTGCTTACTGATGAGCCGAGCTGTATGCTTCTGTAGCCTTCAGCCTGTTTCTGAAGCCGGATTTTAACAATTTACAGACTTGGTGACATCTCTTTTGAAAGCTTTTGCATCATCCTCACCGCTGGATTTTAAATCTTGTTTTTGAGAAGGTCACTCCAGAAACTGATGATCTACATACTTGGTTTTGGTAGCCGTAGGAAACATTGAGAGTTTCCTCTTGTTGAGGATGGGGGACCATTGGAGATGTAGCCGAGTGGGATGATGGATGATCAAAAAAGCCTGGACCACAAGAAATATGACATAATCTTGTTGCCATTTGCTTGACTCAATTGCTGGACAGCCAAGCGCTTGACACGAGGAGACAGATCATCACATATGGGGCTTCTCACTCAAGAGACACATAGAGTATCGGCTCAGTCATTGGCTTCCTGAAGTAGCCTTCAAAACACTTCAACAGCAAGTGCATTGGGTCAAAATCTGGCATGGTTTCTGTCTTTGACTCATTGTTTCTGTATCTTATTATTATCTCCTCTCATTCCTGCTTCTACATCTCAGTGGATGCTCTGAACATCGACTTTTTTGACGCTACAAGAAACGACTGATGCTTGGTAACACACTCTCTTTTGAAGCTTGAGGAATGCTTCTTACTGCTCGCAGCTCCAAAGTCTCGAAAGTGGCCTCAAGACATTTTTATCCAAACTTCACACATCTTTACATATCAAAATCAAAAGCTGGCTTCAGAAGTGAAATAAAAACCCGGCTTCAGAAACAATCTGAAGTCTGCAGAAGCAGTACGGCAGAGTACGGCTCTACACATCAGTATGCGGCTGAATATCTTCTGACGGAATCCGGTTCAAGAAAAACCGGCGTCATACCAGGTTTGAAGTCGGCGTGGTTTATCAATCACCATACAGATAGCACAGGTTGGCTGTGCAATCAAGCGAGTTTTGATTAATTTTCTTTCCTGATGTCTGATATTATAGTTTGTGAACATGTGTTAGACAAAATGCTGTGTTGATGATAAAATAAAATGTGACACAAAATCAGTATTTAAACAGATTGGACTGGGAGTAACCTAGAACTTTCACCACTTCTTATAACTTTCAGCTTTCGTCGATTTCCTCATTTATATCATCTCATCCATTTCCATTTCCATATCATCATAGCTGCATTCGATTTGCTTAATAAATCTTCTTGTTTTTAATCCTCTTGCTATAATGATTGTTTCAATCGATCGAATAACAGCAAATAACCCTGACAAGTCCACTTTGGCCTTCCGAACTCTTCTTGATCAAAATTCGACAAATTCGAGTATTGACACGTCCTCGCGCGATCCCAACTCACACTGCATTTACCCTTCGGAGAGGAAGACACAGACCCATCCTAGACATTCCTCCTATGAATCTCATCCTCCATCTCATACTTCATCCCATTCTTCATTTAATTCCTCATCTCAGCAGTGGTCAAAGGTCATTTTCAGTCACTTTTATTTCTCCGTTGCATGATAGTACTGCACAAGAGTTCACTGATAGCATGAACGATTGAACCTTGATTTGACTTTCAGACTACCAACCCCCCCCGAGTTTCTGCTTCTGAGGATACCCATTTAATCAAACCACATCATTCGGTGAGTCCACATCTGAAACCTTTGCCCGGGATTTGGTAATGGTCAGATTTGTATTGACCGGGGCGATATGATTCTACGTAGCCTACCGCAGAGAATCATGTCTCGTCGGAGGCTTTCCTGAGGCAGAGGCAGCATCAGGCTGGCCATCCTGAAGAACATCGCCAGGACAGATTGCCTGATGGTCTCCGCATCCTTGTTACTCGAGACTATGATGTTGGTTACTTTCTTGACCTTTCAGGTCTCACCCACCCTAATCTGATCCGACCCCGAGTTTTCGCTAGACTTGGAATCAATGAGGAGCATCATCAAAATTGGCAATTATTTCGTCATAGTGGTTCTCGACCTAGAAAATATCCTCTGAATGACTTGCAAGTTTGGGACCTTTGTCTCAAAGCCCATCAGTATTTGCTGCTTCTAGTTCTCGTCGCGGTTCCTGGCGGACATAGCCCAAGCTTCATAAATCGTGGTTTGCGCGATGACCGTGTGGCGCCTTCAGACTTTCCTTACCATACTCGATACTCGCAGCCATCTGCATCTCTCGTTTCCTCAAACTCCTGGCCGGCTCCGCGCAGTCCCGCCTCAGATACGAACGCAAGACCAGCTAGGGATAATTCACACTCGCAGACAAACCATAAGCCCATCACCAAGACTTCCTCCGCTATTGCGTTAGTCCATTCCGCAGCAATCATGATTGACAAGGTCCTTTTCAAACCTAAAACTGGAGACGCTGCCCCTTCAAAAAGTCCTGTTCCAAATGGATTAGTGCATCCAATAAGTTCCTTTATGTCGAGTCCGGTCCAGGACCACATCAAAGGTGGGCATCATTAAATTTTTCTCGTTATCTCATTGAAGTGTGACGGGTGAGCAGCCAACCTGCCGCACCTGATAAGAGTTCCACTCACATTTCCCTTGATATCCGTTTTTGTAGCTCTTCCGCTACCTATCAATCTTCCTTCAGATTCCGCTCCAATATCCTCCAGTCCAGGAAAATTCAATGCTCAAGGGACTCCGTGGATGTACAACATGGCTCATGATAAAGTCATCTATAGCCTCAAACCTGGCGATACCCCTGGCGTGCATGATCTGGAGCCCTTGCCACAAGCCGCACGCGGTTTCCCGGACTCGACCACGGTTCACGATAAGACACAGCTAGTAACCGCGTCAGGCACTTCCCCGAATCATAGTGATACTCCATTACATTATCATAATGAAGTCGACACAAGTCTTACAGGTATTTTCAGAGAGCGAAAGAGCTCCAAGGATTATATCAACAAGAAGACGAATTTCTATATCCCAGACAGTCATCAAATCATACCACCTCTCGACCTGGATGGCGAGGACTCGAAGACAATGACTGAGATGTGGTGGGAAGAACTCGCGAAACATCGAACCAGAAGCGTAGAAGAGGAGTCCCAATCAGATTCACTTAGCTGTGGATCTCTCGGTCGATTCCCCGGGGATCATACGCCGGAAGGAGATGACGAAGACTTCGAACCGACGGGGATGTTTCAAGTCGAAATGAAGGCTCCGCAAAAACAGGTAGTTGAGGGAGAGATCAAGAACGCGGTGGCAGAGCAAGATGAAGTAGATCGGACATCGATCAAAGCAGATCGGACATCGATCAAAGCAGATCGGACATCGATCACGAGCGGAGTTAATTCCACTGGTAGAAGTTGGGCTGTAAGACCTCCGGTGGATCAAGTTTACGAAACACTTGAAAAGTCTTTCCCCTATCATGATCTCGACGAACAAATTGAACTTGGCCCTATACCTGAGCTTACAAAGGAGTCTGCTCTACTGGTTTCACCCGATGTAGCCAATTTTCATGAACAGAAGGCAGATAATCACCCTGCACCGATCGCCGCCTCGAAGTTCTTCGAAGAGGGTAAGTCACCTTCGATAAATCGAGCTCGATCGATTCGGACTGTCGCAGAGGAGCGAATCAATCAAACCGGCGATCCAAAGATGAGAAAACCTCATAACATATTTACTGGACAGAGAGAACCGGACGATAAAAAGCTTGGCGGCCTTTCCCGTATCAAGAGTACAAAGCTTTGGGGGGTAAAGACTGAAGAGGTCCCCCCATTAGGTCAAGCGAGAAAGCACGTGGGTGACATACCGCGGAATTCAACCGTACACGGAAGTCCGCGAGCCCATTCCTGTTAGTACCAATCTGCTTTCCTTTGAAGTTGGAAGAGAGATGATTGTTACCGAGGCTAAATTATCTTCACCATTGGTTTTGCTCTTCACTTGCCTATAGCTTCTTTCAAATGGGCAAGAGGTCGTTTGATCGGAAAGGGGAGTTTTGGAGAAGTTTATTTGTGAGTAATCTGCCTATGTGTCTTGATAGAATATTACTGATCAAAATGGTGTCACGATGATACGGGCGTTGTATGTATCACTAGGGCTTTGAATATCACGAAAGGCGACATGTTGGCCGTGAAAAGAGTCACATTAACGATGGGAGATTCCCAGCTGATAACGGAGAGTGACGAGAAACACGGGAAGGCTGTAGCCGCGTTGAGATCAGAGGTTGTAATGCTTAAAGACCTCGAGCATCCCAACATTGTCCAATATCTAGGTATGCTGCGACTTCAACAGCCCAAAAACTAACATATAAGACATACATAGTACATACATCACCAAGCATGTTAATTGATGTTGATGGCTGTTTGATTGTTTTTCCCCTTAGGATTCGAGGAAACAACGGAGTTCGCTAGCATCTTTCTTGAATATGTTCCTGGTGGCTCGGTAGGAGGTTGTATCCGAGCCCATGGTGCCTTTGAATTGCAAGTCACCAAATCATTCACAATTCAGACTGTGGAAGGTCTCAAGTATCTCCATCACTCTGGAATTTTGCATAGGGTTAGTGTTTAGAAACTCGAGTGACTGTAGTCAACAAAGAGTAACTCATTGGTTAACCTTTGATTTCATATTTCAGGATCTAAAATCCGATAACATCTTAGTTGATCTAAAGGGAAATTGCAAGATTGCCGATTTCGGGATTTCTAAAGTATCATCCAAAGTGGACGCATATCAGACCAATACCTGTATGTCATTCAAGGGTACTGCGTTCTATATGGCACCAGAGATAATTACAAATCAGAAAGGTTATAGTGCCAAGGCAGACATTTGGTCATTGGGTTGTGTAGTGTTGGAGATGATGTGTGGGCGTAGACCGTGGTCGGAACTGACTCAGCTTCAAGCGTTATTCAAGGTCAGTAAATTCTTCCGAACGAAACTCATGATTGATTTGAAGGTTTTGATCTTGATGTTCGTACCTCTTTGAACTGGAATTGCAGGTGGGAATTGAGGGTGTAGGACCTCCGATCCCAGGTGATTTGGAATTAGACAAGCTTTCTCAACACTTTTTCCAGGCTTGTTTCTCCAGGTAAAAGTTTTCTTGGCCAATTTCTTCCGGTTGATCTTCCTTCACTGACATGAAAATGATACTTATCCGATCAGGAATCCGAAAGATCGACCAGTGGCTGATAAATTATCAAACCACTTATTTTTGACTGTGGATCCTTCTTGGTGTTTTGAGGGCTCTGAATTGTTCAGGTATGTCTTAACCTCAATTTATGTGTCACATTAATCGTGAAAGATTACATTCTGGATTTGAATGTGATTTCAAACATTTCTCAAGTAAGTTGTAACATAGAACTGATATCGCAAATGATTTCTAATGCGTGGGGGTAATAGAGCAATCGGTACACAAAAAATCAACGAACTCTTCAATGAATGAGAAAATCAGTGTCATAAACTTATAAACCTCGACGTGGTGAATATTGAATACGTCAAGTGATCTACCCTTTCTGATTTCTTCACGTTTCTCTGAACTTGTAGCTCCTGTAATTCGGGGTTAGCGTACATTAGCTTTTGACGATGACGAGCTTGCACGGGATCCAAACTTACCTACAATCCTATAAACTTATTCATGTTCTTGTTCTTGTTCTTGTCACTATGTAATATCTGTAATATAATTTCATGTGAGCTCTCCAATGTGAGTCCATCACAGTGTGCATATCAAACTTTTATGATGATTCATTACGTTGGGAGTAATTCAAAGTCCCTTAAAAGAGTCTTACTTTTGATGCCACTACGTTTTTCTAATCTTCACTCGAGTCAGCCTCACATGTGACTCAAATGTGTCGTAGATTTTATGAGCTTACGGAGATAGCAGAGTATCAAAAGCTATCGAAAGAGAAGAGGTTACAAACTCAATTGCAAGAATTGACCTGAGGTTTTGGCCATATCGCTTCTGATGTCATCGTGAGCAATCAATCAAGTTTCAATGGATCCTTGGTGTCTTGTAATTTTTGCGCCTGCATACAGCCTGATGTTGGATTTGTTTTCTCGTGCGCGACATTTTTGCACCTTACAGTGAAATTTCCCTACATACTCCATCACAGATTTCCCCCCAGCTTGACTACTTTGGAAGACCAAGCGAGATGTGCAACTCTTGTTGAACAGTTGTCCAAATTTGGCAGATTCCCTCCCTCGAAACGCACTCTCGCAAGCTCGCTCGGATTTTCTTCGAGAGAAAGACTGCGTTGGCCCTCGGCCTGGATTTAACAATCGGTGTAGCATATCACAAACACCAACTTTCTTGAAGCCTCGATCGGTGAAGCTTGATTCGGATTGCAACTGGAACTCTATCAGATCGTCAATTTTTATGTATTCGTAGATCTATGGATCCGAGCAACCGATCGCTCAATCTCAATCGGCGACGTCAAGTTCCTTGGTTGATTGGCCACCGAGTCCCAAGTCAGTACCCAGCTCATCGAGAAAATGTGCTGATTGAACTCTCGGATGTTATCACGATCCTAGACTCGTTACCGTTGGTCAGACTCATTCGCCATCATGGTGGAAAATTCAATGGCCTCACAGATCCACTCGGCGAAGCAAGGGGCTCGTCTGTGTCCTAAGTGATGGTCACAATGGCACCCCATAGCCCTTGAATATAGAACGAGCTCGTAAGCTGACCACTCGAGGATCCTTTCAACTGAACAACCTGTTCGATCCCTCTCTGGCCTAGAGAAATTAGCAATATAGAAGAATTGAACTGGGTTTCCTATCGCCCTCTGACATCCTCAGACTCCTCACTCTGATCCAGTCTTCTAATAGCTTTTCATAAAATCTTACGGGACCAATTCAAACGAACAAACAAACCTAATAATGCTTTCAGTCACATTTTCATCGCGCCAGATGAAAGGACTATTGGTGACATTCATCACATTGATGAGCACCACACCGAATTCGATGTCAACACCACTGCAAGACGACCAAGGGTAATTACATAATTGTTTGAATTGCTATTCACCTCGGTTCGCTAATCTGTCATGTTTCTTGCAGACTTGTCCGCCGGAAGATGGGACAGGAACATACCATTGAGCATATCCTTGTGAACATTAAGGGGTGTCCTGGCGGTGTCTGTGGCAAACTAGGTTGGTACATTTCAGCAGTCTTCCACATAAGTCTTAGTCTTCATTTGACTTGGGATGGGTTTTTGACAGCTGGAAGTGTTTCCGGAGTCCTCTTGGCCGGTGCAAAACCATGCGCTGCACAAGATTTAGCCGATAAGTTGATCGACGAAGCAAGAGTGAGTTATAACATCTCTTTACAACTTTCTTTATACAAGTTTGAGTCACTTATGGGGTAAATATTTTTGAAAAAAATAGCAAAACCCTGAGATCAAAGAACAAAGAATGAAAGATGAAATCATAGCATTTGCTAAGATTTTGTGTGCTGTAAGTCAAACTTTACCTCAGAATCCTTTTTTGAAAGTTGAAGAAAAGAAAATCGATAACAAATTTTAAACTTATCTGACAAAACACGTTTAAAATTCCACATATTCATCATGATTGTAGGCCGAAAAGAATACACCACCGGATTATAAGATTCCACCTCATCAACCTCTTAGTGCGGTCTACTGTCTTGATCCCCCTAAAAACCCAGAATTGATAGGTTTGTACACCACACAAGATCCTGGAAACAATGCCTCAGCTTTCTTTGATCCAGTCAAGAAGATAACAATTCTTGCAGGAGCTCCTGGAACTGTTAGACCTTCAAACGCTATCTCCCTGAATGCCAACTCATCTTCCTCAACCTCCTCAACCTCCTCAAATTCCTCAACTTCCTCGACCTCCTCGACCTCTTCAACTTCCTCCAAACCTCCTACATCAACTACAGAGAATACTGCTTCAACTACCAAGGATGTCACTGCAAAGATAGATGTATCAGAACTCTCAAAGTGTTCGAATCCTACAATCGTTTATGCTGCTGGTCAAGAGGGCAGGAGCAAAACGGAATTCACTTATGGACCGGCTAACAAAGACAACTTTCCACAAGGAATAGCGTTGGGTGAGTAGTTTGAAACAATGAGCATTTCTTTGCTCGAGAAGTATCATTTACTGATGTAATGTAAACTCTATAGATATCGGAATCGTAACCCAAGGTACGTTGAGCTATTCAATATACCTTCACACTTATACCGAATCGTTTCACTTCGTAAGTCAACCATCATCATGATGTCACTAACGTTGACAAATCCGTATCTAGCTATATGCGAAATTATCCTCAAGTGTGTTAGGGAAGCTGGAAAAGGAAAAGATGACGATTCGAAAGGAACCGTCAAACAATGTAAAGCACTTCAGGCACAGATTGGACATGTGAAAGGGGATGGTAGCGCAGCTGATAAATGGAATGAAGCTGTTTGTTCAAATTCTCTTCTATCATCTTGTTTGAAAACTTTCATATGATTGATAGGACTGAATCCTTTTTTCTGCACACGATCTTTTGGCTTTGCTTCTGTGACTTGACGCCCATTTCTTAGTTGTAAGTTTATCTTGGTCATCTGAAATCTCATTTGATAGGTTCAAACTCTAACAATATATCTTTTTCTGTCTCCTCAGTGGTAAAAAGACCAATTTCAAGGATGCTAAACCAGCAGCTTAATGGAACCCCAAACTTCTTTCCCTTCAAGGTATCTTTAGCAGTACTTCATTGGAAAAATCCATAAGCAAGACTTTAAAGAAATCTGATTGTATTTAGTTCAACATATATGATGAGATCAGGCTCATATTACGGTTTATAATTTGGTTGAAAATTTACTGGTGAAACTTATGACCAATGATTTTGTTTGATCTTTGATTTTGATTTTCTTTGGGTGTTTTACTTAATCGACCTTTGTACATAATTCTTAGTTTCTATCAATCAAACCCTGGATTCAAGTAGAGATAGACATTACTTGTATCTCATACTGATATCCTGCTAGACTTTCCAAAATATCTTCTTTGTTGGAATTTGAAATTTAATATGTAGAGAGGATTTGTTTCACAAATATGGATGTTATCATTAGAGAGCCAAGGTCATGGTGACTAATATGGTTTTGAAAAGATTCAAAACCTTTAGATCACATGCTCTAGATATTTGATCAAAGGTCCTTGTTGATAGAGTGTTATTTGGGTACAACCAAGATTTCTTCACACTTGATGACTTGTGAAATAATTTCTTGCAATGAAGATTTCAAGGTAAGCTGGGATCTAGATTGATTTTGACCACCTATCCAGAGCACAATTATCTCGAGTCTGCTTTCAAGAAGTTATTGTCATGAAACTAGTAGTAGATATATGTGTCAGATTTCCCAATGTATACCACACAAGAGGAAATATTATTCCCATACTTGCTTGGTGACGTTCCTCATTGGTACAAATTCAATGGTGACAAGTAATCTCATGATTTTCTCAAGATAATTTCAATCAAAGGATCTGTGAAGGATATAAGATCTAATAACAGCATAAACACAAAACCATGTGTGATTGAATTCATCTCTTTCCCTTTTCAAATTCTTGATTGATGATAAACACAATATGTTTTTGATGATAACAAACCTTCATATTCACCTCAAAATCAAAACAAAACATGGATTAAAATCATGACACTACCCAATACATGATCAGTTAATAATAAAATCAAACAAGAATTCTTACCAAAAAAAAAATCAAAAACAAATCATGTGCTAATGCGTCAAACCAATCAAATTTTCTCAAATCTTTCTTAATCATAAATCTGACTCATTTATAAACATATTACTTATAAAGATTCACATCTTTAAATTAAAAATGCACATTTTCAAATTCTCAAACATCAATCAATTCTGATTCATCAAACTAAAATTCTGATTTTCCAAGTCTCTACTAAGAATTTACATCTATATACACAGATATCAAATGATGAAGCGTGTTGAAAAAAGATTGCTTATTTGGTTGTTCAAGTATCCTTTGAGTTTCAACATGTTTTGCATAACATCTTGCGCATTGAAGAAACAAGCTCTGTAAGGACGCCTCCAGGTGATCAACTTTTTCTCTCTGCGCCTTCTTCAGCAGTGTTGTTCTTTCTGTTTCATTTGATTCTTGTTTGAAGTTCAATGTTGCAGAACGTTGGCCAAAGGCACTTTATCAAGTGAAATCTATCTGCACACTAATTTGATGTCCACTGTTTCCAAATTCTTGCAAGCTTATACAAGCAAAGAGAAAATGGCAAGTACTAGAGCAAATAGACCTTTGAAAAGAACCATCAAAATGTCGTGCAAAAAAAAAGAAAAATGAATAGCATGTTGGAATAAACAGATAAAAAAGATAATGCAATCAAATGAACAAGATTAAACAATGACATCACAAAAGTCAAACAAGATTAAAACAAAATGGAAATAAGGGTAGAAGAAAATTTAACACACACACGCACACACAACAAATCCTTTCCAGAATGCTAATTGAGGAAAATTAGTAAGTAAGAAAGTAATAATAAACAAATCCTGTATGATCCAAGCTGTTACAAAAGTGTTGTGAACGTTTCGAACCCCCCTCACCAAAAAAATCAAGTAGACCACAAATTGATTAAAAGGAGAGAATATATGATGAGAAATCGTGAAGAGTAGCTTTGGAAAAAAGAAAGAAAAAGCTAGCAATGGAGAAGTAGTGATCTAAACAAGATAGAAAAGACAGAAAAGAGGATTCATGGTGAGGTATGATGCTCTGAACAGATTCAAGGAGGTCTTCTGATCAAGATCAAAAACCCGGGAAAAGTGCACCAAAAGGATCAGGTCCAGTTTTACCATATTCTTCTAAACTAGCTTCATCATAATGATCAAAATTCGAACTATCCCACTCATTGGCCACTCGAGGAACATAAGGTGCTGGAATCTCTTTCCGATAAAGGCGTTCCCAATCTACTTCTCCAAACCAGATATGATGAAAGATATCACGTGATCCGTTTGCCAAATTTCCAAATCGTTTCGATAGATCAGATGTAAGTAGTGATTTGAGTAGATCCTTGGCTTGTGGACTGAAATAAGATGGATATCGAACTTTTCCAGCAATAATCTTTTCGTATAATCTCATAGGGCTCTCTTCTACTCATCAGGACCAAACGCAAAAGTTAGAAATATGAATGGTAATGATATGAGCAGAAGACAAAAGTACATACCTTCACAATAGAAAGGGGGGTACCCAGCCAACATTTCGAAGATCAAGACACCTAGGGCATACCAATCCACAGACTTGTTATACCCTTTAGACTGAACAATCTCGGGTGCTAGATAATCGGGTGTACCACAAAGAGTCCATGTGATATCAGGAACAAGTTTGGCGAACCCAAAATCGGTGATTTTAATGTGGCCATCGGCAGCCAAAAGGATATTTTCCGGCTTCAAGTCACGATACACAATGTCCATGCAATGCAGATAATCCAATGCCAATGCGACTTCAGCACCGAAAAATTTGGCTACTGGGTCTGGAAAGCGCTATGAACGAGAAAGTAGCAATCAGTCGAACGGTACGATTGACGATGGTAATCAATGTATATATACCTGTGATTTCCGTAGTAAATTAAACAGCTCTCCTCCGGAAACAAAGTCCTATAAAATATAACAAGTCAAGATATCAAAAATTCGGCGACCAAAGAAGCTTCCGGTATAGGTGAGCCATAAATAGAGTTGCCTACCATGACCATGTACAGGTTGAACGAATCGGAAAAGGTACCCCAAAGGTTGACTAAGAACGGATGCCGAACCCGACCGAGCATTTCCCTCTCAGAGTTGGTATGCTCAACTTGTTTGAGTGAAACGACTTTTTGTTTATTGAGGACCTGAGGGATACCAATGCGGGTTAGATTGGGTTGAACATTGGACAAGATTGCCAAGATATAGTTGTCGTACCTTGATGGCATAACCACGTCCATTATGCCGACTCTTCGATAAATGAACTCGACCAAAGGACCCAGTACCGAGCGTTCGGATGAGGTCAAAGTCGGCAAGCGCGTAGCGCGAACTTGTCTTACGTGTAGCGGCTACAGTGGCTGTGGCTATAGAGGTGAAGGATAGCTTGTCAGTGTTTGTCGCTCGTAATTGTTGGCTAGTTTGTAGAAACGACATTGATGAAAAGATGTATGAATAAGAGCTACACAGGTAGATATATGTAAGAGGGGCGAAGAGAGAAACAACGAGGCATATGGCTTGATGAAGATGAACGCATAAGGGTCACAGGGTATAGCCGAGAGCCAAGCCCGTTAGGCTGCGCGGCCCGACCTCAAGAGTTTCAATGTACGGTTGTATAAGACCAAGCAGTAATATATTACATTCAAAGACGAGTGTGACTAGATAGTGAATTGTAGACTGACCTTGAGATGAAGCTGGAAGAGTTTGAAGAGTAGCATGAGAGTTGATAGGTACGGAATCAGCAGGAGTAGGAATTTGAGCACGAAAGTCACGATCCGGTGATCGAGGAGGACTTGGAAGACCGGTAGGCTGTTTCGAGGTGGTGGTAGTGGTAGTGGAAGGAGCTGAAGAATCAGAGGGCGCAGTGATAGTAGTTGGAGGGGCATGATAAAGTGGGGTAAGATTGGGTCGAGGAGGTGAAGATGGTCCCGGAGGTTTCTTTCGGAAGAGTGTAGGCATATTGAATGATGAGTTTGATTGATAAAGTAAAGCTTGAGGCTTGAAGATCGATACAAGCGAGAAGGAGAGAGGTGTTGGTGTGAAGTGTTGAGAGTGATGAGTCTTGTTGGTTGGTTTAGTGTTTTAGTGGTTAATCTGTGTTGATTGATTGGTGGATTAGATTGAAAATAGTGATGATTGTGGAGAGAGAGAGAGAGAGAGAGATAGACGTCTGTTGGATAGACGGCAAAGGAAATTAAATTTAAGGGAAGATTGAGATTATTAGGGGGGAAGGGAAATTTCTTTTTGGATCAGGAACTTAAAACACCACCTAAAAAGAAATGGTAGGCTTATTAGTTTTAAATTACTCTTTCCGTGTGGTTACAGACAGTGAATGATACAGAAGATGGAGATGAGACCAGCGGATTAGTTATTTGGTTGACGAGGGTGGCGTGAAGAGCTGGTTCAGGCTACAAGAGTTGAGGCGAGAGGGCTGTAGAAGTTTTAAATTGAAAGGGAGAGATGGAAAGATGGAAACAGATTAAAAAGTTAGTAACTCCCTTGACATCAAATCAGTTGACAACAAGGTAACTGATGGTGATGAAGTTATTCAGATTGGAGTCGAATCGAAGGGAAATGCTCAAAAGAAACCATCATCCATCAATTTGAATGCCAATTAACTAATTCAATTTTCATGATGGATGGTTCGATTAAGTACACATTTTGGGATGGTGATGAAGGTGTTGATATGTAATACGAATCAGGCAAATCGCATGAATTGATAGGTTCGAGTTCAATGGATAATATCCTATTCTGTTCAACTATTCGATGCTTGATCAAATTCTCTTGCCATAGATTTATAAACTCACCAATTCAAGTATTCTGGTCAATCTAGCAAAGTTGATCGGATGAAGTTGATTATCACTGATAACAACCAATGTGATCTGGTAAAGAGGAAAACAAAGATTTAAATCAAAAGTCAACAAGAACTTTGGTTTCTTTCTTTGATTTAGACCTCACGTTTTTAATCTTGATGGTTTCTTCAAGTCTTTCTCTCGATCTTGAGGAGCTTGAGGAGTTGGATTGATGGTTTACTCTTCAACCAAGAATTACCGTATCTGAGTAAAATATATCTGATTTCCTTGATCGATCAAATCTAAAGTACTTTAGTCTGAGTTCAAAAAGGATGAAGATATAAAAATCAATTGGGTATCTGGTGAGCTCAAAGATTAATGAAAATGATGATATCAAATTAAGATCGAAGGATATGAACGAGTTTGGATTATGTGTAAATGAGATCCAAAAGCATTTAAGTTTTTAATGAAGACTTTAAAGAAATTTAATCATTCGTTGATCGATTCGTTGATGAAGATGAAGATGAAGCAAAAGGAGGTGGATTCATCAAACAGTTTGATAGTCTCAAACTTTAAAACCTTTTGCTTTCTTTCGTTACCATCATCTATGATCTCATTACAACAACCGTGCCAGTTTATGAGCTGACTTTCTACACTTACTCTCATCACCCATCATCTTATCCCCCATCACAATCATCACCTGTTTCGGAGCTTTACTCTCATGGACATTCTGCCTCATTGATGCACCGTGGAGGTCTTCGGAGTGATTTCCTGAATCGATTGCTCGATCTCGTGATCTCGTTTATTTTGTGAAACCTCCGAGGGCTTACACTAAGCTTAACTGGTCAACACTAATCAACTCGGATAAAGTCGCACTCGCCATTGATATTTGTTGCATGTAACAGATCAGAGATAGACAAGAAGAAACAACCGATACTTTCCAGGAAATATCATTCCTGAAGGACATTTCTTCTTTCCTACTTTTTTGATCTGAACTGCCTTCTTGCATATCAAGCTCTTGACTCCTCAAAGAGGATTTATCTATCTCATTGAAAATCCTTGGGATGAGATGAGGGCGTAAAGAATTGAAACATTCCATGGTTTGATGAACCTGTTCCAGGATGGAGAAGCCGAGCATGACCCAACAATTTATGTGAACATGTTTCACTTTGTTTGTAGGATGCAGGGTTCGGAATCGACATTTCCGAAGAATTGAAAGAGCTCCTTCGAAAGCATTTTTTTTATATTTGTTCATGGATTTTGAAATACTTACGTAAAATTACGGTACTCAAAGTTGTGTATACTTTGCCGTGTATAGTTTTTTTTTGTTTTTTTGAAGCTAGACACAACCCGGAAAAAGTATGTCTTTTGTTCAAAGCTCAAAAATATGTACTTCTGAGCCAGAAACATAGTTTTTCCTGGTCGTGTGTAGTTGTGAAAAAGAAAACAAAAACTATACACGGCAAAGTATACACAACTTTGAGAGCATCCGCACTCGTGCGGTAAGTCGGGTGCGGTAAGGTTAAATTTACCGCAAACGCGGGGTCTTTTCCACACCGGTGAAAAATTAGCCCCGCGGTAGTTAATTTTCGGTCATTTTGCGTTAGCGAATCGGTAAATTTACCAATTGGCTAACGCATGCGGTATCACACATCACGACTTGTTCCCGGCAACTCGACTCCAAAAACAAAACTCAACCAGACCTCCAACACCAAAGTCAACAACCAATATCTCCTTTTCACCACTCACACACGATGATTCCAAGCCTTACAGTTGCATGACAGAGGCAAGAATGTAACCCTTCCCCTTCTGGCTGCAGCTGCCGTCCTGCGCCGCTCAACTTCTTTGCGGTCCCTTT